AGCCTGGGATGCACTCACTCCTCACCTGCTCTAAAAAGACTCTCGGGCTGCTGCAAAGTCCAGCTCAGAGCTCCTTCCCTCCTCCTTGGGGGGCCTTCCAAACCCTGCCCAGTTATTAGCACTCCCCTAGTTACCAGTCACTTGAAATTCACAGATTCACAGAACAAACATTTCAAACTTGAAAGGCCACCTCTCCCCCAACCTCCTCATTTTACAGCTAAGGAAAAAGGCTGAGATGAGTGAAGGGACTTCATCAAAGCCACACAGCTAGGGCCTAGATCTGAGACTGGAACCCATATCCTCTGCTTCCTCATCTAGAGCCCTTCCCAGGGCACCACACAATCTCCCGTTACTTTATATATATTCTGTGATGATTGACTTCCACATAGAATGTAAGCTCTCTGAGGACAGGAAGGGCTTGTTTTCTTTGTCCTTTCATCCCCAGGCCCTAGCACAGGACCTTGCAAATAGGAAATGTTTAATAAATACATGGTGATTCATGACCTCACACATCTAGAGCTAAAGTGACCATAAGCCGGGATTTAGTCCAACCTCTCATTTAAAGAAATACATTTATTTTGTTAAATACTTCCCAATTACACGTAAAAAAAAAGACTATTTTTTAAATTTTGAGTTCTAAATTCTCTCCTTCCCTTCCACCCCTCCCTCCCTCCCACTTTGGGAAGGCAAGCACTCTGATTTGGATTATACATATGATGTCATGCCAAATATATTTCCATGTTGCAAAAAACCACACACAAGCAAACAAAAGAAACCAATAAAAATAAAGTTTAAAAAGTAAGCTTCGGCCTGCATTCGAAGTTCCTCACTTCCCTCTCTGGAGGTGGTTAGCACTTTTGCATCGCAGGCCCTCTCAGACTGCCTTGGACCACTGTCTTGACTGGGGGTAGCCAAGTATTTCACAGGTGATCATCATTACAACACTGCTGTTGCTCTGCACAGTGTTCTGATTCTGTTCACTTCACTTTGCTCGTGTTGAGAAGAGTCTTGCCAGATTACCCTGAAAGCATCCTGCTCATCATTTCTTATAACACAATAGTATTCCATCACCACAATATACTCCAACTTGTTCAGCCACTCCTCAGCTGACAGGCATCCCCTCAATGTCCAGTTCTTTAAGTATTAAGTAATAGGCCTTTTCCCTTTTCTTTGCTCTTTCTGGGATACAGACCAGTAGTGGTGTTGCAGGGTCAAAGGGCATGCCCAGTTTATAGGCCTTCAGGCATGCTTCCAAATCACTCTTCAGAATGCCACCCCTACTCCATTTTATAGAGAAGGAAACTAAAGGCATAGAAGTTAAGTAACTTGTCCAAGGTCTCTTGGGGTAGGAATAGTAAAGCCAAAGTGTGAAGCAGGCCTCTGAGTCCCACATGCAGGATTTCTCTCTCCTACTGGGCCTCCTCCAATGATTAACCCCTGTCCTCCCCCCCCCCACACACACACACACACTCTCTCAGAGCAATGGAGGACGTACTGTAATCACATGGTCAGGGAACACTTGGTGACCAACAGATATGTTATGTGAAAAGAAGAATGGCTGAACCCCTGTCCCTGAGGAGGGAAACATCTCCAAGGAGTTTCAGTCAGGACTGTAGCCCTGGCTAGCCTAGGTGAGGGAAGGCCTAGGGTCCCCGAGTCTGGAGCTAGCTGGCAGGGAAAATCTAAAGCTGTCCACTACTTATAAATAAGCACACCACAGGATGTCAGTTAAGGCTGTCATGAGCAACCCTGTTAATAAATGTCCAGACAATGAATGCTTTTCACTCTCCCTAAAAGGTCCACTGAGAAAGAGACTAGACTTCAGCTGAGGAGAGAAAATTGAGCATCTCTTTCCTCTGTCCTCCGGTTCTGACTGTTGCCATAACTGTTGTACATCATTGAGGACTGGGAACTGTGGCCCCTCTACAAAGGAGCCAGATGGGCACAGTCCTTTCTGGGAGACTCTGCCTCCCAACCCCCATCCTGGCCTGAATTGCCGGCACAACCTTACAGATAAACCTATACCACAGTGGCCACTTTGTGCTGAAAAGATTCATAAGGGCTGGAGGGTGGGGGAAGGGAGGCCTTTCTTTTGAAGAGCTTCAGAAAGCCTTTTCAACAGCCTGCCTATTAAAAGAATTGCTAAACATCCTTCCCAAACTAAGTTAGAACTGCCCTAGTCAGGACAGCCCCAGCGTGGCCTTCCCAGGGCGTGGTGCTCCCCAGATGTTGGCCACCTACTTTTATTCTTTTAATTAGGGTCACAAGAGATTATTAGGGAAGGACAGGCCACAGTGAAAGCTTATCCTGTCCCCTCTTCAGAAGGAATGAGTGTGAATCCTACACAAATCACAACCATCCCTACTAGTCTGCTCCTCCCAAAGTGCACATACTTTGATCTTGGCAATCAATTAAAGTGAATACTTAGAATAAATACTAATTTTTAAAGATCAATTAAACACTAGCAGCATTCCATTCAATATCTGTATGGACATGCCCCACCAGTTTTCTAGTGAAATGAAATGGCCAGCATCATATTCCAAATCTCATTTAATCAGCAATTATTTGTTAAACACCTACTATGTACTAGATCCTGTCTGTGTCCCTTTTCTCTCTGTCTCTCTCTCCTCTGTCTCTGTTTTTCTATGTCTCTGTATCTTGGCTCTCAGTTTGGGCAAACTACTTGCTTTTATGGACTTTGATTTCTTCTTCTATAAAATCATAAGAGCAGGTGGGGTGAAGTGGATAGATCAGTGCATGTGGAGTCAGAAAGAAGTGGCCTCAAATCGAGACTCAGGCACATATAACCTGCATGACTCTGTCCAAGTCACATATTCCCTCTGAGTCTCAGTTTCCCTATCTTTTAAAATGAGGGGGTTGAACTCTGTGACCTCTAAGGTTCCTTCTCATTCTACACTAATGATTTGATGATCCCTGCCCTCAAGCAGATTACTTTCTACAGGGGAAACATGTATACAGAGAAGTACAAAATAAATATGCAGTAAATCCTGTTCCTGACACATGTGGAATGTGTGACCCTGATTAAGTTGCTGCCCCTCTTAATGTACTAGGTAACTCTCTAAAGACTCAGACACAGAGATGCCGACCCACAGTTCCTTTACCTGGGAGTGACCAGGACCAGGAATATCACAGGTCCAGTCAGTCAGCAGGAAACACAAAGCAATTTAAGTGGCACAGTGGATAGGGGGCTGAGCCTGCAGCCAGGAAGACTCCTCTTCCTGAGTTTAAATGTAGCCTCAGACACTTATTAGCTGTGTGACCCTGCTTAAGTCACTTCACACTGTTTGCCTCAGTTTCCTAATCTATAAAAGGAGCTGGAGAAAGAAACTGCAAACCACTCCAGTATCTCCGCCAAGAAAACCCCAAATGGAGTCACAAAGTACGGGACAGGACCGAACAGCAAAGCAGGCACCTCCAACGCTACCAGCTGGGGAGAATCAGAGAAAGCCTCAGGCAGGAAGGAGGCGTTAGAGCTGACCTCTCCAAGGAGCCAGAGAGCGACAAGGAGCCAACATAACGTCACAGAGAGCTGGGGCAGAGAAAGGGGCATCTTGCATTGGACATGCTGGGCACCCATTGGCCCATACAGTGCCCTGGGGCTGTGCCCCCACTTTGGCATTAAGTCACTGATTTTGGGGGAGAGTAAATGAGACAAACTAAAATTCAAAGGCTGGAAAAGCACCTCAGAGCCCAAGGACCAGCATCGCCTTCTCCGGGGGCTGAGCACTGAGGAGAAACCTCCCAGGTTAGGCAGATGAGAGCCCAGGACGCTCTGCCCACCTGGGCCCCGCAAAGAGGGAGTTTACAAGCTCCTACCACTCTGTGGTCCAAGTCCAGCCCAGGCAGAAAACAGGATATTTGCAAGTCAAAAGTCAGAGTCCTCCCCAGGCCCCAAGCACAGGCAGGGGTCCCAGGGCTGCCTAGGAAGCCAAAGGTCCCAGACTGCTGGGCCAGATGCTCCCTAACCTTTCCCAAACAATGACCCGCCCCAGGCCCCATAGAAGGAACTTCCCTGAGAGCGTCCCTCTTCAGCCTGTCTCCCAAAGCTCCGGCCTTGGAAGGCGCAGCTGTTTTGTTGTCTCTGACCCCGCGGGGGAAGGCTCAGACCCCCAAAAGCCCGCGTTGCCAAGGCTTTGAGCAGAAAAGACAGAGTGAACAAAAGGGCCTTAGCTTCCACCCCCCCTTCCCAAGACACTTCAGTCCACCCTAAACATCTGGCGCCAGTTCGGGAGGAGTTCTCCAGAGGAATGGCCCGGCCGGCCTCCCCAGATGGGTGGGGGTGGGGGTACTCTCAGGGTCTTAGAATCTGCTTGGGGGAGGCGGCATTTCTCTGCAGCCTCACAGCCCCCCGGGGCTCAGCCTCCTGGCCCAACCCGGCGCAGGATCCCTGGCCCAGAGCAGTGGGTGAACTCGCAGGCTAGAGTCCAAGGTAGGTTTACCTCCGGCCAAAGCTAAGCAAACCCCGCCTAGGGGGGTTCAAGTAATTGCTCCGCTCTGCCCTTTTATGGGCCTGGGGAGCCTTACAAAATCAAGTTCACCTCCACGGCTTTCCCGCAGCCTCCAGGAGGGGCTCCCGGGGTGGGGAGGGGGGGAGAGTGACAGCCTCTTTGCTTTTCGAGCCAGGACGTCCCAAGTGTCAACTTTTAGAAAAGCTTGGAGCCCTGGGGAGGGGTCTTCAGCAGGCCCCACCTCTGCTACCAGCTACGGGATACGGGGCAGCAAGGGGCGGGGGAGACACACAGTACCGAGGCCGCCCCCAACCCCACTACCCGGGGCTTCGGGGCAGGAAAGCAGGACCCAGATTTCAAGTGAGAGTGAGGAGTCCTAGGGACTCTGATCCTTCCCTCAGCCCCGTCCCTGGTGAAAAGCCGAGGCGAAAAGGCGTCGCCCCCGGGAGCCTCCCTGGGTCAGTGCCCTGGGGCTCAGAAGTGAGGGGGGAGAAGATGGGGGGGGGATCCCTCAGCCCCCAGGGACCTTACCTTCTTTTACTCCTGGAAGCTTGGACTGGTCGATGCTGATTTCAGCCATGTTGGAAGTGCTGCCTCCTCTCCCCGGCGGCTCCTGCTTCTGCCTCGGCCGGGGCCGTGCTCACGGTGGGAATGCCGGAGAGCGGCCCAGTCCGGCTCGCGGAGGGTGTAGGAGCGGGCAGCTGGGGCTGGAGAGCAGCCCCGGGCAGGGGTTCGGAAACAAAGGCGAGCAGGCTGAGCGCCCCCCACCTTTTTCCTCCACCTCTTCCTGCTGGTCCGCCTCTCCCTCCCTTCGCTCGCCTCGCCGCACTAGGGAAGCTGCAGCCACCTGGACCACCTGCTCATCCTCTTCTCCGGCTCAGCTCCCCATTGACACAAAGTAACAGAAGCCAGGAAATTGACACAAAGCGGCCGGTACGGCGAGAGAGAGGGGACAGAAAGCCGGCCGGGAAAGAGAGAGCCTAGGGAGGCGGGGAGAGCTGCAGGTTTTAACCGCAATTGCCGGTCTGGCCAGGAGGACGGCGAGAACTGCCCGCAGCCTCCCTTCCGAGCCTCCCCTGCAGGCTCCTTGGTGCTACTGCACCCCCAGTCTGGAACCGCAAAGAGCTGCCCTGGGAGTGGGGGGAGGAAGGGGGGAATAAGGGAACCGGGTCGGGGTGGGGGCAGGGATAGGGAGGTGGGGCTGGGGGCTGGGTGGACACCTCTCTTTGCTAAGCAGTCATTTCTCCCCTTCCTGAGGGACCAGTCCCTTCTCCCCTCCCAGAGATTCCTTCTCTTCCTCTTCCCGAGCGGGACAACCTGACACCCTGGTACTCAGGGCGGCCGTGTTGCCGCCACCCTCCTCAAGGGAGGCCAGCCTAGGGCCCACAGAAAAGGAGCAAAGGGGATTCCTATAACCCAAAAAACAGCAGGAGATCAGGACGATGACTGAGGGGCATTTGGCAGGACACCTTTATTGGACTCCAAGCTCGAAGCCCCCACATCTGCTAAGGAGGAGCACTGGCTGGGGAAGGGGGTCAGAGGACAAGTCTTCAAACCTCGCTGGTGAGGCTTCCTTGCATGTGTGACTTTGTCACAAAACATCTATGGAACTCAGTTTCCTCATGTACAGAATGGAGGAGTGGTAGAGGAAGAATGGGAGTAGGTGACCCCTAAGGGCCTAGAGAAAGTTCTGAAACTCTTTTTGGGTCATGGAGCCCTTGGGTGATCAACTGGAGTGCTTCTCAGACATATTTTGAAACGCATAAAATAAAAATATATAAGATTACAATGGAAAACAAGTATATTGAAATACAGTGTTATATTTAGCTATGTATGTATATGCACATATGTGTAGGTATATATACTAATACATATGTACATGTATGTGTGCTTATGTACATAAAGTTCATTTACCTCAGGTTAAGAAGCTAGTTCTAGAATATATATCTTTAGATAGCCTAAAAACTGAACCAAGAAGTAGGAAGACCATTCTACAAAGTCTTGGAGAAGAATCCTGGATTTCCCACAGGATGGGTCTCAGATTTTCATATACTGGATCCCTTCCATTTTGTAGGTGAGAAAGGTTTAGTGACTTAGCTCAGGCCATTGAGATAGAACCAGGAGCTGGGTCAAGTCAGAGAATCATATAGCAGATCTAGAAGGAACCTTGGAGACCAGCTGGTCTAATCCCTTCCTTTTATAGATGGAGAAACTGAGGTATGGATAGATTAGAAAGAAAAAAGAGAAAGAAGGAAGGAAGGCAGGCCCTTCAAGCCATTCCTATGTACCAGGCACTGGGCAGAGTTAGAGAGATGAAGTCACTTGCCCCCGGTTATGTGGCCAGGGCCTGGCCTCTCATGCCAGCTCTGCCTCTAACTCTGTTCAATGAGGGGAGGGGGGGAGTTTAAATCAATCATTTCTAAAGTATCTTCCTCTGTGAGTTTCCCAAGGGAAGCCCTCAGTCTCTAATGAGCTTAACAGATGCCTGCCAGGTCATGTTTGGTTTGTGCCACTTACACTCTATAAAGCCCATGAACGAGGTCAAATGAGCTCAGAGGTGGTAGGACATCACTCACACACACACACTCACACATACTCATTCACACATATACACACATGCATACACAGACACAGATACACACATACACACATGTACACACATACGCACAGATACACATACATACACACATATACACACATGCACACACAGATACACATGCACACACATCAGCACACACACATATATTATATATATATATGCATATATATATACATATATATATACATATATATATATATATACATATATATATATATATACACATACACACAGACAATCATACATACACACACTGGGGAACAGCCCACAGTAGGGGTGCTACTTCTGCTGTCTGCTCTCATCTCTATTACTCTGCATGTGGGCAAACCAACTCCAGTTATCCCTTTCCACATCTTAGGATTTAAGGGCATGGCACCCCCCCATCTGGAAAATCTGAATAAATTTTTTTGGCTCTCCATACCAGAGAAGAAGTCTCATTTTTTTTTACTTTTTCTTTTTTTGAGATTTACAATACCTTATTGTAAATTCAAGTTGATATTACACAATACTATACATCTATTTTATGCATTTCTCAGTTTCTAAACCTTTTCTGTGCCATCTGATGGCCTTAACATGTCATCTGCGGCTTCCTCAAAATTCCCAAAAAATTCCCATTTAATTTCTTATGCCAACTGGCAATATATCAAATCTGCAATGGAGAAAGTCTCAATGTGGAAGGGATAACTGTACAAACAGCTGAAAAGGAAAATGAGGATGAAGTGGGCTGGCAAAGTCCCTACCTTATAAAGCCCAGGAAGTGGGAGAAGCTAGAATAGACTGAAGAAAATCATGAGGACCTGAGGCCTAGTCATGGCCCTGTCCTAGACTGTCAGCAAGTGAAGCCCTCGGTCTGAGACTCAGTTTCCTGATATGCAAAATCAGTTAGTTGGACTGAGTTCTAACATCATGCCCAGCACTAAGATCATAGATCTTGGGCCAAACAGGCCTCCAAGGCCACCTAGTCCAACCTTTCCATGTGACCAATGAGGAAACTGAGACCTGAGTCACAAGGATAAGTGTCAGAGGCAAAATTTGGCCCCACGTGTCTTCTAACTCTTTCCACTGCACTGTGTTGCTTCTCTGTCCTTTGCTGTGAATAGGATAGAATATATTCTATCCAACCTTATTTCACATCATTTTTATTCTCTCTGTTCAGCCAAACTTTAAGATTAGCTTGTCTCTGAATATGGCAGACCATTTCATACCTCCACACCTTTGCCAGGCTTTCCCCCTGTTCCAGGCATACACTTCTTGATGTGCTTAGTGTTCTCCCTCACTAGCAGCTGAGATCCCTGAGGCTGGGACTTTGGTCATTAGTTGTTACTTTGTGCCTTACCAGTGCCTTGCATATGTCTATATTTGTGTGCATACATCTGTGTATATACAGTAATATAGTTGTGATACATTATAGTATTTGTAACATAGGATTATATAATATAAACATATATTATTACATGTATAATATGGTATAAACTATTAATAGCTTACAACTGCATTGACTTTTGACTCACTCTGTACATCCATAAAATCTATAAAATCTTGTTTCATATCCCCTCTCTTATTACTCTTGTGACCTTGAGGCAAATCCATTTACCTCTGAGACTCCATTTTCTAGTGTGTGTGTGTATGGTTGGGAGGGGAGTACCAATCCAAGAATCTGTGTGATTTCATCATTGTGGGGATACTCCTGGTTAGCAAACCCCCTCCAATGCAGATCTGCTGCTTATCCATAAATCAGGATCTTAGAAAGGAGCTTCAGGTGTTATGAGGTTGTAACTTACCTAGTCAGACCACTTACTTGCACCCTTTGAACTCAGTGATTCATGAAGTGAAGACAAGCATTCTGTCTAATCTGTCAAGCTGCCTTTCTCATTAGAACCTTCCATATACTGTAATAGGCCCCTAATTAATATTTGTTAAATGAGAGGCAATGTGGTTGAGTGGAAAGCACATTGGATTCAGAGCCAGGAGACCCGATTTCATACTTATTGTCTGTGACCTTGAGTAAGTCACTCAGACTCTACTTTGCAATCTCTTCACATGTAAATGAGATGGGTCTGTGTGTCCACTGAGATCCCTCCCACTTATAAATCTGTGTGCAACCTTGGCTCAGACAATGATACGGACTGTGCTCCTCTTTGAGGGTGATTAATTACAGAATGCTTCATGCCTGAAGGAGGGGTGGCCAGAGTTGGTAAGAGAGTAGAGATAGCTTGAGGCTCTTCTGGCTTCCATCTTCGAGAAAAAAGCAAAAGAATATTGCAGCCTTTCTTCAGGTCTCTGAAAAGAGAAGAAGGCTTCAGGAAGAAGTCATCACAAGAGAAGCTGACAGTCTCTGTCATGTCCCTCTCCCCATCACTCCCTGAGTTGTCTCACTCCCAAAGACAAAACTCATTCAACCTGGTTGCCTGGCTTAAATTCTCATGTGTATATTTTCTATGATTTCTGGTTTGCTATTGACTTGGATAAGTGGGTTTTTATGTTATTTGCTATGTGCATTCATTGTTGAATAGGCATCTATCTGCTGGGAAGGAAGTTAAGCTTTGAATATGTAGGTTGGTATGTTCCTTTCCTGCTAAGAAATAGAGATCAGAGGTTTATCTTAAACCTAAAAATCAAATGCTCTAGACTAATATTTAAAGAAGCAAATATATATGCCTCGTTTGGTACCGCCTTTCTCTGAGGAAAGCAGAGTGGCCAGCCTCTGGCCCAAATCTCTCGTTTCCTTTCCTAGCAGAAATCAAAGTCTCCCTCGGACAAGGGTGGAGGAGTTGCTAGAGATGCCTCTTCTTGCCTCTCTGAGGCACCTCTGGACAGATCCATGTGCACACACATAACCTTCATGGGTAAAACAAAATATCATACATATAAGCCTGTCAATTACACGTGTTACTGAGAATGTTTTCAGGAAATTTAGAGGTGGAAGGGACCTTAGTCATTAACCAATCCACTTTCACGATTCTTTTATACAACAAAACTTAGGGCCAGGAAGACTTCCCCAAGGTCATAAGTTAACAAATGACAGTACGGGATCTGTAAGACTGGAACCCAATCTCCTCATTCCCAAGCATGTCAAGCTCTGTCTACCAAAATAGTAATAGAACAAAATAAACCAAATTGGGTCAAAGTTAAGAAATGAGGCTGGATGTGTTCAGAAGCCAGAAAAGAGACAATATTGAGGTGTTTAAATGAGGTTGGGTGGGAGGGAGAAAGAATAGAAAGGAGGTCAGGGAGCGTCAGACAACATTTGTGCGTGTGCAATCCCAGATTCAGATGACCTGTATCTTGAGGAATTTGGGCCTGGACTGCCCCAAGAGAGAAATACATTTGGGCATGAGCATTCTTGAAGCCTGACATCCTGTTCCAAGCAGGGAATGGCAAATGCTCATTATGAAAACATGAGCCCTTTAGCAGGATGGGAACTGAAAAAAGCAGGTTCTGTTGGTGGTTTGTTTTAAAGTGATCAGCCCCAGAGAATGGGCTGATGGCACCACTGAGATAATTGCGT